CGGGGCCTTGGTGTTATCAGCACCGCACTCTACCGAGTGAGCCACGGGCCGGCCCTAGATATTTCTAAAAATATCATTTGTTGTACTTTGCCCTTGTTATAACTCTCATTGACATCAACAATTACTAGTTGAATATCCATGTACATGTAAGGCTTGGGGCTAGATGCTAAACTTTAAGAAAAAAAATATGTTTCCAAGTTACTATAATCTTTTATGAACTTATAGCCATCTGTGCTAATCTTATACAGTCACCTTTTCACCAGGGACCAACACAAAAACTACAGTTTAAAAGTGTGCAAAGATCATGCCAGAAATCCATTCAGAGGCCCTGAGATAAGAGAAGCTGATCTAACAGGAGCATAAACTTCTTCCTTCTGAGTGACACATGTGTTAGAAAATGTATGGCCTCCCTCTAAGACTGCATTTTGGAGGCAGAGACCAAACCATCCCATAATTTAAATTGTTTTCCAAATGCCTGTCACTTTGGCAATGTCCCTGCCAAACTAAGACTCCTTAGGTCTTTGAAAAACATCTACTTTTCTAGTTGTTTCTAGAGTCCAGTTTTCCAGACCTTCTTAGAAGGGCCCTAGGATACTTCTGATTTACCTTCACTTTGGAAAATTCAGCATCCAACCTACAAGCCTCCTCTGTAAGAAGCCTTCAGCCCATTTCTGCCATTGACACTTAACACAGAAAGTATTCGTGGTTCCTTTCTGTGAGCAATCACTACACTATTCTTGATCTTTGGAGAAAACAGAACGCATACACATAAAAGTCATGATTAAAAAAAGAAAGAAAAAATATATCCATATCTAACATGCAACAAATATTTTTTGGAACATTCTGCCAGATACTTGTATAGCTAATCCAAAACATCAGATAAATTAAAAGATCATTTGTATCTGGCTTGAGACTTCTTTTGGTGTTTTGTATGTTGTTTGTTTACAGGGGGTAGAATATGGGGCTGGGGGAAGGAAAAGGGCATTGTCTAATAATCTGACTGAAATCCCTAATTGGCTTGACTTTGGCTTCTGCCCGGTTTTACTTGCATCTCATTCAAACACAATGGCCAACAGAGCAGGAAAGCTCACCAGGCAACAAGGACAGCCAAATAGCCAACTGCATACATAGGGAAATCATTTTCCACTTACCAGCAATGCTATACTAGTAAGCCTCAATGCCCTTACTGTGAATAAATAGTATTACTTGACATGCCAGGTTAAGGATTTAACATAAGACATATAAAATGCTTAGAACCATTGTTCACCTGGATCATAGAAGCTTTAAATAATAATAGTAGCTATTATTAGCCACTAGTATTAATACACATCCCAACATTGGAGATGACTGATTTGCCTGCTTAGACCACATGGGTTTGTCTTAAACAGTAATGTTTTATATGTACTATTGCTGACAGTACTGAAATAGATTACGTCTGTAAATCTCTTCCTTCAACTCCCGGAGATTAAGGACCTCTCCTGAAGCAAGCTCACCTAAGCCTATTTCTACCATCCATCTAGAAATCAGTTTGCAAACCTCTGACCCATTTGTTAGAAAACAAAAGCTCTGCTCTCATTTCTACTCACATCAATTAGTGTTTCTTTCCTCTCTAATTCTTCCTGGGAGCATTAATTTGCCTTCTGTTTGCTAGCCAGTCTACCATTCCTAGGATTAAAACCAGAGAAACTAACAGAAAATTGAGACCCCATTTTCAGACTTTTTGACACAGAAATTAATGCCTAAATGTGTGTGTGTGTGTGTGTGTGTGTATAGAAACAGAACAAGACAAACAGAATCAGAACAAGCTATCAGTGGGGTACTCACCCCCACTTTCCCTGTCTTGATGGATCATTTTACAAGCAGTTAACAGAAAAGTGTTGAAACTCCACCATTCCTCAATACCCAAAAAACATCATGTGTTTCAAAACAGCACAGATTATCTAGGTCCAGTGATATAAAATAAGCCCACCACTCATCTGTCAAGGGAAACCAAATAGGAAAATAAAGACTAGAAGTTGTGATGGGTACTTGCACCTGACACTCATTTATGTAAGTCTGACTCTTGGCTGCAGCTAGAGAGGTCTACGTTAGAGCAAATGCTAATTCCTCCTGCTTCCTCTCTGCTCCCCTGGGCAACTCAGAAGCATCTCTTGGGCTTTTGTGTTGCACCAGGTACCATTTCACTCAGGAGCAAGCAAGAGGCTGAACTATATTGCGAGTATAATTTGGGAAACCCCCAGCCCTGCCCCTTACCTGCAGAATCCGACCCCTCGACAGGCACACTCTGGGTTGAAGCTGGGACTGGGTCCTTGATTCCAGGCACCTGAGCAACTTCTTCCTGGTTTGTCAAAAATGCAGAGCACAGATCAGACTCGAGGGCTTGGAGCTTCAGCAAGGAATTCTGCCAGCAAAAACAGAACATCAGTCTAGCTACGTAGATGCCTAACACAACGGCGAGTGTACAGCTCTCGCATGCACCTTCCTCCAGTGCCTGGAGGGAAGAGGGTTGAGAACACAGCTGCTTCAGGGAAAGTGCCGGAATCACATATGCATTATTCTACTTGCAGCCTCAGTTTCTGCTTCATTTAAATCCTAACGTATATGGATTATCTCTGACACACAGGACTGGTGATTTCATCAGCAAGAGATGCTGCATCTGAAGAACCAATCTGAGAAGGTATCTGCTTCCTGGGTGCCAGAGGCTTTACACTTTGCAAGTGTTTCATTCATTGTGCTGACATCAGGAGGGAGGACATTAGGCCCCTCCCAGGCTACCATTCACAAAAGCCATCATTCCTCCAATGCAAAGACTGCAGCAAACCGCAGTGCACAAAGAGTTACTGCTGCAGAGGCCGCCTGGCATCTGGGAGGAGCTTCCAGGCTCCTTTAGCTACATCTGTATGGGGTGTGTATGTGTGCATGTGTGTGTGGGGGAGGTGTGCGTGTGCACTGGTGTCTTCTGAAGTTACTTCTCTCACATGGGATAGCTGCAGCTGCCTTTTATCAAGAACAGGGTGGAGGTAGATGACCTTGGTCACTTAGCCAGACACCAAAAGAGAAGCAATTTATCTTTCATAGCCCCCAGCACAACCTCCCACCCACTCCCTTCATTTCTCATTTAAAATTTCTCCCATGGCTCTTAATAAGAACAAAGTCATACAGACTGACGCACATATCCTGCTGTGATGCAGATACCAGCAAATTAATTCCCCTGACCAGGTGAAGGTGAGTCACGTCGGAGTCCCCAGCGCACCGCTCCCCCCACAATGGGAGATTTCTGCAGGTCTCAGCCGCTGTCCCACCCACCCGGCTCCAGCAGGGGCAGCCACTGGGAGCAGAGCCAAGGGTCCTTTCCCTACTATGATCCTCCGACACACACACACACCTCTTCCCACCCTGCCCTCCACATAGCCTATCCCCCACACATCCTTCCATCCTACTCCAGAGCCCCACCACTTACCCCTCACCCTCGCACCCTACTCGGCACACATACACACACCCTAACGCCCACACATCCTCATACCCAACCCCACACCATCACCCCCCGACTCCACACGTACACACACACAAACTCCCGCCTTACACACACACGCTCTACCTACCACACACGCCCATCCCTGCCTGCCCCACACATCCAGCCTCATACATTCCCACACCTAGCCCCAAAACCTCACAGCTTACTCCACACACATGCATACCCACCCCTACGCCATATAAACCTCCACACCCTACCAACAGCCCCACATCCTGCTTCCACACCCGCATACACACACACGCCCCTCCCCCACACACCCTCACACCTTACCTCACATAACCACCCACCAACATCTCCTCACACCCCAACCCCTCCTTTCACACAAAACAAACTCCTTCACACCCCCTTATCCACTCTCGATGTGAGTAAGTAGGAACCTACAGCAGTGTTTTAAAAACTGTTCACTTTACCTCACATAACCACCCACCAACATCTCCTCACACCCCAACCCCTCCTTTCACACAAAACCAACTCCTTCACACCCCCTTATCCACTCTCTTGATGTGAGTAAGTAGGAACCTACAGCAGTGTTTTAAAAACTGTTCACTGAGGGATGTCTTGAATCTGTGGTCTCTCAGCCATTCTGAAAGCAGCAAGGGCAGGCCCAGGATCCCTCCTAGCCCAGAGATGGGGTGGATCCAGCACAAACCTCCTCAATGCTCAGGGCCTGCTGCCTGAGAGCCCACAGCCCAGGCGAAGCACCTGCCTGAGGCCCGGCCAGTTTTCATGGCTTCCTCCCCCTTCCTGGGATGTTTTCCCAGCAGCTGAGTGTGGAGGCAGGAGCCCAAGGTTGCTGGCAGGAGGTGAAGAAGCAGCAAGGTCACCAGGTTTCTGGAAGAATTTAGTATTTAGTAACCATGCAGCTGGGGGCAGCAAGAACGATATCAGGCACCCTTCCTACCTTGGAAGTCAGAGCGACCTCTCAAAAAGAGCAAAGCTACTCTGAGGACTAAAAAATAATGCCATGAGAACATAAACTGGTGCCACCACTATGAAAAACGGTATGATGGGTCCTCAAAAAATTAAAATTAAATTACCATATGATCCAGAAATTCCAATGCTGGGAATACACCCAAAAGAATCAAAAGCAGGGACTTGAAAGAGATATGTGGACACCCATGTTCACAGCATCCTTCCTCACAATAGCCAAGAGATGTGTGATGCATGGAACTGTCTCTCCCCAAAATTCATATGTTAAAGCCATAACCTCTAGTGTGACTTTATTTGGAGACAGGGCCTTAATAAATGTAACTAAGGTTAAATGAGGTCATAAAGGTGGTGCCCTAATTCAATATGACTGTTGTCCATATAAGAAGAGGAAGAGACACCAGGGATGGGTGCACAGACAAAAGGCCATGTGAGGACCCAGTGAGAAGACAGCTGTCTGCAAGCAAAGGAGAGAGGCCTTGGGAGAGACCAACTCTGCTGGAACTTCCAGCCTCCAGAGCTGCCAGAAAATTAATATGTGTTGTTTAATCCCCCTAATCTGTGGTGTTTTGTTATGGCAGCCCTAGCAAACTAATACAAGGTGGAAGCAACCGAGTATCTATCAACTAATGAATGAATACACAAAGTGTGCTATATATGTACAACGGGACATTATTCAGCATTAAAAAGGAAGAAAATTCTGACACATGCTACAACATGGATGAACCTTGAAGACATTATACTAAGCCAAATAAGCCAGTCACAGAAGGACAAATACTGTCTAATTCTACTTATATAAGGTAGTAAAATTCATAGAGATAGGAAGTAGAGTGGTAGTTATCAAGGGCAGGCAGAGGGGCAGGGTGGGGTTGGGGAGTTGTTTAATGGGACAGAGTTTCATACTGGGATACTGAACAAATTTCCAGAGATGGATGGTGGTGACGGTTGCACACAGTGTGTGAGTATACTTAATGTCACTGAACTGTGCACTTAAAATGGTTAACATGGTAAATTTTACATTGTACACTTTTTACTACATTTTTTTTAAAAAAAGAATAAAAGGTAAAGTAAAAAAAAAAAAGACTGGATTCTTTCTTTCTTTTTTGTATTTTACCTTTCATTCTTTTGTTTAAATTGTGGAACAGCAGCTTGCCTCAAATTCTTATATGTTGTTGTATATTCCACAAAGCAGGAGAGGGCACAGCCTTCGGGCTCCCACAGAACCAGAGGGGATGTCAGTTCTGCTGCTTACTATGTGTCTGACTTTGCACAAACATCCTGGCTACTCTCAGCCTTAATTTCTTCATCTGTAAAAAGAGGCAGTAGCAATGACACCTGCTCTGAGGGCTGCTCTAAGACCTGAATGAGGGAAGGCATGAAAGCACTCTGCAGAGCACCAATGCGTAGCAAACACTCAAGGACTGGGCTCTGGTTACTATGAGTCATCAAAGTCCAGAGGCCTCTGGGCAGAGCTCTGGCCATATGGTGAGGCCACCTCCTCACTGACCCTGAGGCCCTGACTCATTGCTTTACCTTCCAGGGTCTCATTCCTGCACCTGCCTATGAAGGACTTCAGGCTAGATGAATTCTAAGTCTGCTTGCAACTTTAAAGGAGAGAAAAGCAAACAGGCAACATACTGAAGAAGGTACACAGAATCTGGTGCCACATGGGTGCTTGGACAGTGTGGAAATGAACCAAGTGTTTATGCAACACAAATAAATAGCAAAGAATTGTAGTGGATAGGCATATATCGTGTAGTTCACCTTCAGAGAGAGGCCTCTGGACTCCCCGGGGAGTGAGGCATAGCGCTGCGACCCAGTCACAGCTAGGAGATGAATCGGTTGTTCTCATGTACCGTCCACTGCCACTTTCTCCTACTCTTGTACTCGTAATGAACAAGAACAAGACTCCGAGGGCCAAAGTAGGTCTGTTGTATGGCTGGTTTATTCCTTTCTGAAGTACTAAATAGGACTGAGCTTAAAGGAAGGAGGAAGAAAAAAAGTGGGAAATGGAACAGGAGAGAGAAGGCGAAGGTCTGGACAGACACGATCTCTAAGTGAAAGGAAAAACCAACTGCTGTAAATAGAGAACAAGAAGCTGCCACAGGACAAACTGTGTGGGATGGGCCCATAAAGGGACACCTCTCCTGATGACCGAGGCACCCTGGACAAGAGGGTGGGAGGATCCACCTAGGAGCGATCCATGCCACTGTCACATACATGTCCTTGCAGTGGATGACGGGAGACATCCAGCC